TTAACCCATCAACAGAGTGGGCCTTTTCATAGAATAAAATGAAAAGTGCCGTATATTAAAACTTTATGGGTAGATGCCGCCATGGTGCAACCAACACGACAGATTTGTTAACTTGTCCTTCACGCACGGTACAGGCGCATACATGGGAGATCACCTACAATCTTTCCTTTAAACACTTTGTAGCATAAAGTTCAGATTAAATTGTGCAATTGATTTACCTTTCGAAACGAATGGCGGTGTTCCATACATCGTAATGATTTGCTAGAATATATTCATATTAACAGTCAAAAATAAAGACGGGTATTTTAGGGTTTGAAACACACTGGCATAAAGCACATCCGGATGACCCAGCCCGCGGAACAGACCAGCTCATTGCATGCCACAGAGCAATGCACTTTATACACGCATGTGCACCACATACATACTGTGTATGTTAATGCCTTACCCTTACATGTATGTGCATGCGACGTACAGAGCACGGGTACACGGTGAAACTAATAAACACGAGCTCTGTCGGTTCTCGAAGGTTAGCCATTTATAGCCCAGGCTATGCTGAAGCTTTGGTGCAGGCCAGAGCTTGTAAAGCCTGATTTTTGTAATTTTTGGCCTTGAAATTTTTGTCAGCAACACTTAAAGTGGGCAAAAAAATGGGAAAATGATATTTGTTTTCAGTACCCCAAGAAAACAATTCTCACATTTTGGAGAAGGGGAAGAATATAAAGTATACATGTAAGTAAAGGTTTTTTCCAAAAGTTTTCTACCTTTAATGTTTTTTGTTCCACTTTAACCCTCCTATGCTGAAGTCACTCTTGGGGTCACTTGGTAAACACCTCAAAGAAGCACAGCTGTGTTGTGTTGTGCACTGCACCAACATACAAGAGAGTGACCTTGGGTACTTGTTCATATTTGTGCTGTAAAACCAAAGGAGGGTTAAGGATGGATTAATTGGCTTTCGAGCTACAGTGGTTTGATTTTATGACTTTTATTAATCCTGGCCACCTTAAAGTGGGTTCTTTTGGTTTGTTGTTTGATGTTTGTCTTGTTCTTTTTTATATACATGTTCTAGTTTGTTTTGTTCACTCTTGTTTGGCCAAATAAACAAATTTGTGTCCCATTTCACTCTGGAATATGGAGGAAGTTGCTCTGCATTTTTCCGTAGAGAGAAGCGACATCAACAGGGACCAATGTAACCTACCATCCTTTTTCACCCGGATAAAAAAACAATGCCGACGGAACCCTTCACTGTGTTTAATATTTTCAATTTATCCGACTAAAACTTCAGCGGAGGAGAGATTGAAAATAAAGGCTTGAGGACTTGAAACAATCAGGGGGAAAGGCTAGAAACCAAGTGCAACTAATTAAACAGCAGCCTACATTCAGTGCACGAACCAACTGTTCCATCCTAGTTCGTACATGTAGGTCTCTTATTGTTTATTATATTTTATTGCGTTGAAGTTTTTTAAACAGAGCAACATTTCACTATGCCTTGGAAAATAAAGGAAGGGAAGTGACAGGAAGGAAAAAAAATGCCTGTGCACTCATATGACTCGTGAATCATTCCATGAAATTGGCAAGACTTAGGTGTATTCAAGTACCGGTACCAAGTACGACTGGTATCGCACAGAAAACACTTGAAATTAGCATTGCTCACCGTGAAAGCATATCAGGGTTACCGGATCAATCATACTGTGATGCTCATGATCGGAAAGCAGTATACTAATTTTGACATAAAAATTCAGAATTTACACAGATCTAGCCTACATGCACGCTAACCTTATTTAAGATGGTGATCAAAGTCAGGGTTATTCATGTCGAGATACACACAGGCATGTTGTATCGTGTACACATACGTGTACATGTACTAGACTTCTGGCAGACATGTGCGTTCACTGTGTTGATACAAAGTAATACATCCCGGGTAGAGGCTGTAAGGTCCCTGGAAGTGTTGCAAAATACATACATGCTGCGGCATACACGTTTAAGTCTGGACCTGGTTTGTGTCTCTATCATGCATGTTTTGCTTGTGTACACTAGTATAATTTGGTGAGACATATGATACTGTATTAATGTTCAACGCACTCACCATGTTTTTACTTCGTTCATTTTTTAATTTCCCTCTCAGTACAAGAACTGAATGCTGAAAAATACTCAACTAGTCCCTTTCATGGGAACCTCAATGGGATCACCTACATGTATGTCCCCAGTTCTTGCTGACATCTACATGGAACAATTCAAACAAGCAGCCATTGCCACCAGTGATCTCTGCCCAAGAGTGTGGCTCAGATGAGTTGACGATATGTTTGTCATATGGCCTCATGGTAGAGACAAACTAGGAGCTTTTCTGAAACACCTCAATGGGCTCAGCATGGGTGTCCAGTTCACCACAGATCAAGAAAGAGATTGCACCATCTCCTTCTTGGATGCGGATGTGTCCAGACGACCCAATGGCACCCTCTTACATGCATCTCCCTTCATGTACACCGTAAGCCAACTCACACAGATTGGTACCTCCACAATCGCTTGTGTCATCATCCCAATTATTGGATCGAGAACTCAGTCAACACCACACTCATCCGTCTGGCACACAATGTACATGTACATGTATATATGTGACCAGGACAGCCTACTCAGAGAGCTACACCACATCTCCACAGCACTAAAGCCAGTGGTTTCAAGAGATCACATTTTCTTCAAGTACATTTCTGATCATGGCGATTTTATGGCTTCCGTCATTATCTCGCGGTGGCTTTAGAGAAACGTTTTGCTGCATCGTAGACCGTTTGACATTTGGCATCAACCCAGATAGTGTTCCCTCTTTTTCATTCCATATTCATGAGTCCCTCGATGGAATGGTGATGCTCCGGGATTTTTCTCTTTGTACCAAGGTTTCTGAAAAGAAAATCTCTTTTTACTGAATGACGTTCGCAAAAAAATGACGTCCGAGATATAAAATACGATTCCTGATGAAAATCTAATGCTCAGAGTTTTTGATTTTAATTTAATTTTTAGTGGGAATATCTCCAAAATAAGTGGAATAATGTACATAGTGCATAAAATTTTCAAGCACTACATGTGACACCATTTTCGGCATTCTCGAACGTCATGCATTTTTTGTCAAAATTCTCGAACGTCATCAAAATTCTTCCAAATATGATGCTCTTCTGATGATGTCTTCTGATGATGGACAGACAGTGACAGAGCACTCACTGTCTGCATGGTCTGAAACGTAGAGTACCGGTACCAGTTCTTTTGCGAACCACACATACTCACAAAAGAGATAATTCACATACACGTAGTGTCTCCGCAAACTTCCTACCTTATTGTAGATCCACCATGCAAACCTTCAAGCATTACCTGCATTAATGTTACGAGGCACAGGCATCTTGATGACTGCCTTTCATGTTTTCACAAGGAGTAGCGAAAATGACTGCCCCCTGAATACATGTACGTGAACAAATATACATGTACACCGTATGCATTCCCTTAAAAAGGCATAAAAGTATGGCACATGTACCGGTACATGCAGGTCAACTGAAGTTTTCATTGTTATGATCAAAGAGACACACATCTTTGTTACAATACATGTACCGGTACATTCTGATTCAGACGCTGATGAAGGCTGACATTACATTTCTCTATTCTCTTACACACGCTTCTTTTGCGTCATGTACATGTGCATGCTTTCATGTACATGTACTAGTGCCCCACAGACTATGGTTGCCTGACATTATTCCACTTGCTGTTACCTCACAGACACTGGTTGCCTGGCATTATTCCCATACCGGTACTCTTACCCTCAGACACTGGTTGCCTGACATTATTCCACTTGCTCTTACCTGCAGACACTGGTTGCCTGCATTATTCCAATATACTCTCACCCACAGACACTGGTTGCCCGACATTATTCCCATACCGGTACTCTAACCCGCAGACACTGGTTGCCTGACATTATTCCACTTGCTCTTACCCGCAGACACTGGTTGCCTGACATTATTCCAATATACTCTCACCCACAGACACTGGTTGCCTGACATTATTCCAATATACTCTCACCCACAGACACTGGTTGCCTGACATTATTCCAATATACTCTCACCCACAGACACTGGTTGCCTGACATTATTCCACTTGCTCTTACCCACAGACACTGGTTGCCTGACATTATTCCACTTTCTCATACCCACGGACACTGGTTGCCTGACATTCCCCTACCGGTCCTTTTGCCTGCAGACACTGGTTGCCTGACATAATTCCAATATACTCTCACCCACAGATAGTGGTTGCCTGACATTATTCCACTATATTCTCACCCACAGACACTGGTTGCCTGACATGATTCCACTATATTCTCATCCACAGACACTGGTTGCCTGACATTATCTCAGTATATTCTTCTTGATCCCATCCTACTCTTCTTCATTATGCTGTCTACATTCTGTCTGATCAAGTTCTACTCAACATCCAACAAAACCTTCAGTGTGTCATGGTGGCTGTGGATGATGGCAACAGGAATTTCATTGGCCTGTGGATTTAGGTAATGGCATGATTACAGACCCAGACCCACACCCTGAAGCATTGAAGCATGGTGCACTGTTCACAGTACATGTTACTACAACGGTTGCATAGCTTCTCATTAGTGTTTTGCCTTGTTCAGTAAAACAGGACATATTTTAAGAAATTAGGGTCATGCAAATCACAAATGCATGGTTGCAGTGCACGCGCATCTAGTCGTTTTTAACCCTGTGCGCAATTCCACCATTGAAATAGTAAATGATAAAAAGTATGTTTGATTAAAATTACAAGGGGTAGGATTGGATGGTAGCGAAGAAACTGAGAAAATTTACTGAATCCTTTAAAGGGAAAAAGAACTTGCCTCATTTTTCACCATAAATTGGTTGCATAACCAATCAAACAGAGTGTTGCCTGACTATTGTTGGTGTAAAAAGATGGGTGTCGAACATTTGAATTTTAATAACTTTATCCAACCACACATGGTGAACAAATAGTCTGTGAGTGTGGACAAACAGTTCAAGTAGAAATGGTCTGAAAATTAAATTTTTTTTTTTGTAATGGCAAACCTGTAATTGAAATTAACATTTCCCCAACACAAAGTACATCTTGAAACACATGTAGTTCACAATACCCGCTGCTACTTGTAAATCTGAATTGAACTTGCCAACTGACCCCGGCAAGCTCGGTGGTCGAATAGTTCAGATGTCTGCACTACATTGTACAAGTACATGTCATATTAAGCAGGAGGTCATGGGTTCAAGTCCCACCCGAGTAAGCTTGTGAATTTTTCATTAGCTCTGGCACAAGCACTGAGTATACAGTGAAGACATTGTATACTGGTTTGCCCTTATGGTGTAAGGGCAAACCTGTTTAATATTGAAACCAACATTCTTCTCATTATCATTAAATTAATTACACTTTAATTCAACAGTGTGAAGTTTGTTGGGTTGTTTGTCATTCTTCTGACTGGATTGAGCACTATTCATGACCTCTGGAGGCTACTGGGAGAACTGTCTTTGACGAAGGTTAGAAGCAAAGATTATCATTTGATCAACAAGGTGATACTTATTCACAATTACAGTAGTTGGGCGATTCCAACATTTTTTTAATCGATTCAAATTCCGTCCAGGAATCATGATTCCACTCGGAATCTATTCCAGTTTTTACATAATGTGTGCGAATGCCATGTTGAGCATGCCCGAGATTACATACACAATGCAATTTGTTTCCTAAACAGTCGTACATGTACCTGTCATTAAAAAAATATCCTCTTATTGCATTAGAAACATGAAAGATTTATTATCATTACAGATGTTTAAATTGGAAATTTTTTTTATATACACACTGCCAAGGTTTGTGGGATTTGGGGAATTTTCCAAAAGCTGGCACCATGGGAATTTTCAAATACTTCAACAATTACTTTCATTTCATGGTAAAGGAAGAATTAATGTCAGGCTAAGGGCTGCATTGTTTAGGTTTTTCAGTTCTGAGCAAATTTTTGTAATACGTGACGAAGTAGGCCTACTTTTTCCATGACAGTTTCCTTTGATTCTTGAAGATTAAACCTCGACGCTGGTCCGGCGGAAGGTTTTCTCGGAAGACATAAACACTCCGAGGAATGAGTTACTAATTTGTGTCAATCCTTCAGATATTGTAGTTGAGTTTCCAATAAGAAATACAGGGTAATCAGGGACAAGAAATTTCATTGCGAGGAATTTGGCATCTGAGAAAAACTCTGATGTAGTTTTCATCGGGCACAATATAGCATCCAAATGCTCAGCATGTTAAGGAGTCACAATTGGCAGGAAGCCAACAATGGGCCATCGGTATGCTGCAGACGAATGGGTCGGATTACTGCACGCACCGCTATGATTCTGCAAAGCATGTGGGCCACGTCTCATAATGGACTTCAATTTTTGGCAATGAAAATAAAGCCACGCAGTTTAGGTTCCTTATATGGTATAAAACCACACGTTTCTTCAAAAATCGACTGATCATTTTAAATGGCAGTCTTTTGGAAACGCTGGACTTTACCTGGAATCGGATCTCAAGGTTATGGAATTGGCATTGATGTGGATTCTATTCCTAAAAAAAGTGGAATCGTGACTCCGATTCCGAATTTGGAATTGATTCTACCCGATTCCAGCATGGATTCACCCAAGCCTGAATTACAGTAGTTTGGAGTCATACATATGTCTACTCATCCACCATCCTATTATAGAGTGACTGATGTGCCTTGTATTTTCTTCTCTCTCCCATCCTTTTGCCGTCTGCAACATCTTTGTAGATGACACTGGTTCGTCATTTGGTGGCCAGAGTTGTTTGTTTGATATTCCTACCAGTTCTGGTCTACCTGATCATATTTGCAGTGCATCTTCAAGTTCTTAAAAAAAGGTAAAAGTATTAAAGGATAAACCTTTTAGGAGGAAAATCATTTGAAAAGAATACTTTTTGTTACAGTATGTTCAATTGTTTTTGCTTTACATGTATTTTGTCCCTTGACATAAGTAAGATTTGAATCTTTGTGTGGTGGAAGAGACATGAGAAATAGGTTTGCGGGTACACCATGGAATCAACCTCTTTTGGGCGAGCTGTGGTTCTTAAAAGAACCGATGACGCTTCAGTGATGACGTTTCGACCAGTGTGCTCTGGCCGTCCTCAGGAGTTAACACTCACCAGTTCTTTTAACCACTACCTGCCAGGGACTCCAAAATCGGAGCCGTATGGTTTATATGGGTGGCCAGGGTTTCCGAACTCGGACAAACGAAACAACGCCCTGTAACAAAAGACCGTACTCTGAACAAAAGACCAGGCTGCTGGGCATTACCGACATTTTTCACCCTCAAAAGTGGTGATAATCCAGCATTGTTTTGAAACCGTATACCAGGGTTTGGGGCATTGAGAGCAAGCCGATTACCACCGGGGACAAAAGCGCTCCACCACCGCAGCGATGAGCCACACAGTACGGCTGCACGCTAATCTGGCCCCTAATGAAAAGAGGTCAGCAGTGCACTGAGCCAGGTTCGTGAACAAAAGACAGTTGTATAACGCCGCACAATCT